CTTATGTTAGTAAATTTATATATATTTATATAATTATAAATTTATTTTACTTTACTCGACGGTGTCCTCGTTGCTACGTTAGATCAATGTGGCATATACAGTATTGCTTCTCGCGGCCCTCGGCCGCTGGCTTGCTTGGATTGAGGAAAACGATACCGCGATCCGGTCTCTGATCATAAATATATCTTATTGCTTACAACTAGAAACAAAATTTTATATAATATATAATTGTCATATGAAATATACTAACCTTCGTCTCCATCCTTTCTTCAGAGAAAGCTGAGGAACAGAGAGACGCCTCTGGTTTCCGTGTAGACCCATAATAAATTACAGTAATACACTATTACGACTATTTAAATACTATGTAACGTATAGTAAAATTTAATTGATTTATATACTACAGTATATAGTATATTTAATTATATACTATAGTTTAGTCTCACGTAATACATACGTAACGAAACGTTACTGACGTAACTCACTGCTACGATAGAGCGTCCGTTACTAAACTGATCTCATGGAAAGTCTCGTATTTTACGTCGCGACTCGTGATATAGTTCAAAGTCGCGAGTCGGTTAGCTTGACGAGCATCGACAATAGAGTGTGCGAGAAAAAGAGAACATCATTGTGTGGTTGTCTTTGTCTACCGCATAGCACTCTGAAAGCGCAACGAAGTTGCGATGTTTACTTGTTTTTGGACGAGTACGATTGCGCGCCTCGCAGAGCTCGCGCCAGTCGCACCTCGCGCCATACGGCAGTCGTCGTGCAGTCGCGAGTGGTCGCCTATAACTGCAGGTGATAGTGATATAAGTGGTGATGTATCAACGGCGAGGTCGTAAATGTAAGTATAAAACAGTAATATAAAAGTATATTTTATATAAGTACGAGGGCGGTTCAAATATGATCGAGACAAACGCTGTAGATGGCGCGCCTGTATGTTTTGAAGGTCGCGGCTTGAGTATGTGATAGCTGGGTCCCTTACGAACAGTGTGGCATAGTTTTCGTCGCGAACGCACGTTTCACGCGCGTGATACGACCATGAGTGAACGTCAAGTGCCAACCGCCGTTGCGCAACGTATTGGTTGTCTTCGCTTTGACTGGTGCCCCTTCCTCCTTCTTTCTCCACTCTTTAGACGACACCTTGCTTTCGGGAGTGTAATAGTGTACCCATGTTTCGTCTGTAGTGAAGATTCGCGTTAAAAAACCGTCCCCCTCAGCCTCGTATCGTGTCAGCAAGCGGCGACAAACTTCCACCGCATGAATTTTTGCTCGAAGTTTGGGAACCCATCGCGGCGAATGTTGTCTGGTGTGATGCTGGTTCGCGGTCGACGATCATGCGGCTCATTCTCGACGGTTTCGCGGCCATCTTTGAACGCTTTGGCCCATTTAAACACAGCAGACCTACTCAGGCACTCACTACCGAACTGATTTCGCAAACGCCGAAGAATTTCCGTGTTTTTAACGCCTTCCCACACCAAAAAACGAAGGACAATACGTTGCGCAACGGCGGTCGGCACTTGACGTTCACTCATGGTCGTATCACGCGCGTGAAACGTGCGTTCGCGACGAAAACTATGCCACACTGTTCGTAAGGGACCCAGCTATCTCATACTTAAGCCGCGACCTTCAAAACATACAGGCGCGCCATCTACAGCGTTTGTCTCGATCATATTTGAACCGCCCTCGTATAATGTGCAATACATTACTATCATGTAATATTTATTAAAATATTCCCTTTGTCTTTTTCAGCAAGAAGTGAAGGCGCCACCGTGAAAGGGTGGGTGGCGACGACCCCGGCGAGGATCCCGGCGACGGCCCCGGCGAGGACCCCGGCGAGGACCCCGGCGAGGGCCCTGGCGACGGCCCCGGCGACGACCCCGGCGACGGCCCCGGCGACGGCCCCGGCAAGGGCCTCGGCGACGGCCCAGGCGACCGCCCCGGCGACGGCCCCGGCGACGGCCCCGGCGATGGCCCCGACGTTTAGGCGAGGAGGAGGAGGAGGAAGAGGAGGAGGAGGAGGAGAAGGAAAATGCTTCCCTAAAGGGAAGAAGAATTCCTTAACAAAAAGGTAAGGAGTGTTCCTCTTTCCGTCGCTTCGTCCGCGTG